GTGTGTGTATTTTGCATATGATATTAATGATATTTCAAATCAATGTAAAAAGAATGAATTTCAATTTTTTTTTTTTTTTTTTTTTTTGTGTGTGTGTGTGGTGGTGGGGTACTGGGGATTTAACCCAGAGGTACTTTGCCACTGAACTGTATTCCCAGCCCTTCATTAAGAATTTTCTACTTAAAGACAGGGTCTCACCAAGTTGATTAGGGCCTTGCTAAATTACTGAGGCAAATTTGCGATTTTCCTGCCTCAGCCTCCTGAGCTGCTGGGATTATAGGAGTGTCCCACAGCATCCCAACTGACTTCAACCTTCTTAATGGAGAATAGTGCTGGTAAAACTGGGCTGTGCAGGGAAAAAATACCAACTTAGATTACTACCTAATGTCATATACTAAAAGAAATTGCAGGTATTTTATAGTATTCAAAATAAAAATTAAGACCACCCTAGAACTGATAGAAATTATAATTAGTTATCTAATTTTGAGGGTAGGAAAGATGTAACATAATATACAAGCAAAAGACAAATAATTAGGGAAATAATATGAAAGTAACAAGTAAAATAAAAATAAACTGGGAGGGGCTGGGGTTGTGGCTCAGTGATAGAGCACTTGCCTAGAATGCGTGAAGCACTGGGTCAGCACTGCATATAAATAAACAAATTTAAAAATAGGTTCATCCACAACAACAACAACAAATACACACACACACACACACACACACACACACCTGGGAAAACTCATTTGTAACATGCACCATAAGTGTTACAACCTTAATATGTAAAGAGTTTTTCCAATATAAGATTGTCAACAGAAAAACAGGTAAAAAAAAAATCTGTAGGCAAATACTGAAACATATAAGTGTAGACAAACACATAAAAAAATGAAAACACAGATCACTAATATATATATGTATATATAATATATATATATATATGTATATATAATATATATAAATAAACATACAAATTAAACAAGATACAGGGGCTGGGTTTGTGGCTCAGTGCTAGAGCACTCGCCTAGTATGTGCGAGGCACTGGGTTCAAGCCTCAGCACCACATAAAAATAAATAAATAAAATAAAGGTATTGTGTCCAACTACAACTAAAAATAAATAAATAAATAAATAAATAAATAAAAATAAGAATAAAACAAGCCAGGTACAGTGGTGCTTGCCTGTAATCCCAGTAGCACAGAGGCTGAGGCTAAAGGCCAGCGAGATCAAAGCCAGCCTCAGCAATGGCCAGGCACTAAGCAACTCAGTGAGACCCTGTCTCTAAATAGGGCTGGAGAGATGGCTCAGTGGTTGAGTGCCCGAGTTCAATCTCCAGTACCAACAAAACGAAACAAAACAAAACAAAAGCATTCTATCAGGTGAAATTATGAATGATTTTTATAATCAAGACCAAAAATAAAAAGTCCAAAGCAAATGCTGTCCATGTCCCTTCTTTTTTTTTTATAGCATCATAAGAAAGAATATCAGCTACTTTAGAAAATGCTGAGACGTTTTTAGCAGCTTTGGTAAGAGACTTGATTACTTATGAACTTTGGTCATCTTTTTTGTTTTACCCCATTTTTAAAAAAATAATGTTGATTCTAATCTCTTTTTTTTTAAAATATTTAGTTGTAAGTGAACACACAGCATCTTTCTTTATTTTTATGTGGTGCTGAGGATCAAACCCAGTGCCTCACACATGCAAGACAAGCACTTTACCACTGAGCTACAGCCCCAGCCCCTTGCCCCATCTCATTTTTAGGGAAGAAAAGATAGCCGGATGAATCTGCAACAAGATCTCAGACGTAAAAGTGGCTTTCTGAAGTGACCAAGTACATATATAATTCTTACATTTATTTTTGCTGCAATAAGAGGGAGAATAGGTCTACAGGCCTGTTCTCTGAGGCATGCTCACAGTGGGTGGCCCAGTCTGGGTGAGTGGTGAAAGGCCCCCACAGTGAACACCTATATTTGTTGGTTGTGAGTCCCTGAAGAGAGGATGGTAGAGTGAAAGGGGATAAACAGGCTAAAGAGTCTAACATCTTAAAATATGGAGAAAATTATGTTAAAAAAATGAATAAGTAAAGGAAGGAACCCATATAGGGGTCTTTCCTAGTCTCTGGCAATTTGATCTCTATTTCAAAGAAAAGACACCTGTGAAAATCTTTAAACTGAACCAAACCTAGCCTAGAAACGCCATCCTAAGACGCCAAAAGACTTATTTATCTCTATTGAAAAAGACAAAGAATGTAAATGAAATGAAGTAATGTTAGTGCTTGAGTTAAGTAGTTTCTTCAGTGTTGGAGTGAGGCTGGGGTCCAGAAAAAAGGGTGTCTTCAGATACAGAGTATAGTTTTTGTCAGGTTTGCCTTGGTACCAGAAGTTTAAACATCTGCCATGAGTTATTTTATTTTTGTGGTACTGGGGATCAAACCCAGGGCCTCTCCCATGCTAAGAGTCATATTCTTTTAATGCTACACTATAGGATACAATTTCATACCCTCACCCACCATTCTCTGGTTACGGGACTCTATCAAGCTCCACATGCAGTTGTTCTCCATTGCTCCTAGTTGTATCCCACAAACTCTTTCTGCTTCAGGTCCAAATCATACTCATATTGCTCTTAAGAGTCATCTGCTAATTGGTTTGTTATTTAACCATACTCTAGAATCTGCGGTGCATTTTTTCTAGGCATGTCTTTTTCTAAGTTCTATGTTTACAATTAGCACCTTGTTCTTTCATCATCTCATTCTTCCTAATAAGAAAAACCTTATGGACAGATTTCATAAGTTTGTCATTACAGAAGTGACAAAGATGGGAAACAGGACACAATATGAAAAAAATGATAGCCAGATAACAAATTAAGTAGAATAAACGATTCTAGTTCTAGAGAAAATATTGTGGCACTCTGGGTGAAAATGTTAGAAGACAGAAGGAGTATCAGAATTATCTGGCTTATCTCCAACATTGTATTAATTCTCTGGATTCACACGGGTATATAAAATTATTGGCCTTTGCCTGACGCTGCTGGGGTAAAGCAGGAGGTAGCAATCTGATTTAATTCAGAGAAGCTATGTTGAGAAAGGGATAAGTCCAACTCTTAAGGTTCAAGTTTGGCGAGTGCTGGCAGTCACAAACAGTATAGCCTGCTTCAGGGGTACTACTGGCCTTTTTTGGGGGGTTGAGGGTGTCTCACTCTGTTGCCTCCTGAGTAGCTGGGACTTTATACATGTGCTACCATGCCTAAATGGAACTTCTACTGGCATTTAGGATGTAGACCAGAATTTTCTCTTATAAATTCAGCCAACAACACGAAATCAACACCTATAGATTCACATAACCCAATGCTACTGAAAAGAGGCAGCTTCTAGTAATCAATGGTAATAAGTGTGGTTCAATCTCATTGTATGGCTGAACAGGTGTACTTGGCTGGAACCCCAGAGGGTCCTTAGACTTAACCATGAATTTACACATCTGAAACGGTGAGGCTGGAGATTAGCCAGAACTATAAAGCAGTCTGTTGTCTCCCAGACCGGTCAAGTCCATTAGAATGGGTAACAAAGTCTCTTACCAAGACCACACAGGGAAGTGTTTTTAACAGTTCTATTGTGAATAGCAACAGCTTCAGAAGGATGCACACAGCTAGTTGTCCTACCTTTATTCAGGGTAGATTAGGACTCAGAGGAGGTACAAAAAAAGCAAGAATATAGGTGTAGGATTCTAGCTACAGAGGAATGTTCCCTTAATTCCATCTAAGGTCTATTTCATTCTGAACGCTTTATCTTGCAGTATTGTGGCTAAGATCAGCCCCATTTAGGTGAGTTCAAGAAAGTACCTAGGCCCCTGGAAAAAGAAAGTTGTAGTTGTAGTATTGGATTTTCTTCCAAAAATGATTCTCAGAAGCCCTAAATGCCCTGTACTTCCTATGTTTTTCTTCTATAGGGAGACAGAGTACTTTATATCTTCCCAGTTCCAAAGGAGGATACAGTATTGTCTTTCTTCAAAGACTTTCCCAACAACTAATGGGGTATTCAGATCTTAGGAACCCACCATAAAAAAGGGGCCAGGAACTTCTCTGTCAGCCTCTAATGACGTTAAGGAACTTTCTGCCTAAATAAAAGTATATTATTTATCTATTTCATTTCCAGGATGTAAAGCAGCAATTTTCCCCAAACCAAAGAGTACTTAATTTTCTGCTTAATTATATACTTTTAAAGTTTAAGAAACAAGCACAGAGTCTCACAGATTGGGGCTGGTCCTCCTCTTTGATCCAGACTTTTGAGGCACTTCTCTGGGCAGCCCAAGTCTTGGCCACTGACTCCCAGAGCCTGCTGAAGTGGATCCAAAGAGCTGGATCGGAGTTGTAAGTTTTTGCCACCATAGTTCTATGAACTTTGTCCTTTATGTTTATTCAGGATATTCACCAATATCCAGTAAGACAAAGAGCTGGGAAAGAAGGGCAGGGTGGTGGCATGTTACTGGCTAAATCCAGATGTCCTTAGTGAGGCCACATATAACAGGAAGCAGAACCCACAGTACCAACCAGAAAAATGCCTTTGTCACAGCCTGCTGCCTGACCCTGGGGCAGGTGAAATGATGGCGCCTTTCTGGAGGGAGTCAGAACATTCCACCTGCCCACAGGAGAGTCTCTGCTGCAGTAAAGTACACTGATCTATTCTACTCAACAGGAGAGTAAAGGACAAAATGTGCCCCACAGCAAATTCTAAAGTGCCTCCCAGCAAGTCTTGTCACAGCAAAATAGTCACTTTTAAATACACAATTCAAATAGGTAGCCATTACCATGGTGTTTTCCTTCAGGAAACCCCAAGTCTCTTACTTATAAAGGAATTAGGAGCTCCCAGAATTTTCCTAGGCATTGAATACCTACCCATAAAGAAAAAATTAAACCAAGCTCAACCTCTTTCTGAAGGGATTGTTATTAGTCATGTCAGGAAGATTTAAGTGGAAACAGGGAAGAAATTCAATAAAATATTTATGCTCTCTTACCATTAGCATCTTGGACTCCAGTAAGTGCTCCAACGGCTGCTGCGGTTTCCCCAGACAGGACGATCTGTCCCCCGCCTTGTAAGGTGGCTTCAGCCAGGGTGGCGACAGCATGAGCGGCAGCTTCACTGTGGGTATGGAAACAGGAGAGAGGGATATGCAAGTAGATAAAGGTACAGCACCACAGCAAGACAAACCATCTCACTGTGGATCTCTCTACTGACTTCATGGCTGCAAGCCTACTAGAAAATCCTTGATGCCAGTCAGAGCAACAGACAGAGCCAGGAGTAATTCTAAAATGATAATAAAAAGCTAGAAAAATCTCAAGCCATATATTTATAAAACTAATCTGAAATTTTCTTTTAACCCAGGTAATGAGTGTTTGAGGACAGAAGATGTTCATTATGTGTCTCTTCTTATCAATATCAACTGAGTGCTTGTAAGCCATAATGGAAGGTGTGATCCATATTCACAATGCAAAAGCCATTTTGATTGGCAATCACAGGTTTTCTCTTCCTCTTTATGGTAACACAGGGCTGACCAACTGACACTATCTTTTAAGCCAAGAATGGAAGATAATATGAAGAATCAGCAATCTGAACTTGCTATTTAACTAAATAAAAACAATTTAGTTTATATCCATACTTTTTTTTTTTTTTTTTTTTTTTAAAGCTGAAAATTGAAGCCAGGGCCTTGCACAAGGTAGGCAAGTGCTCTACCAGTGAGCTGTATCTCCAGCCTTTTTATTTTTGAGATGAGTCTCACTAAGGCTGGCCTTGAACTTGCAATCCTCCTGCCTCAGCCTCAGGGGTAGCTGCATTACAGGTGTGTGCTATACTGCCTGGCTATATCCATTCATTTCACTTATTATTATTATTATTATTATTATTATTAGGTACTGGGGATTGAACTCAGGGGTGCCTAACCACTGAGCAACATCCCTAGCTCTGGTTAGTTTTTACTTGGAGATAGGGTCTCATTAAATTGCTGAAGCTAAATTTGAACCTTTAATCCTCCTGCTTCAGCCTCTTGAGTCACTGGGATTACAGAGGTATGCCACTGCACCCAGTTTTCCATGCCTTTTATTTATTTTTTGGTACCAGGGATTGAACCCAGGGGCATTTAACCAGAGCCACATTCCAAGCTCTTTTTCTCTTTCTTTATTATTTTGAGAGTCTTGCTGTTACCTAGGGCCTCACTAAGTTGCTGAGGCTGGCTTTGAACTTGTGATCCTCCTGCCTTAGCCTCCCTAGTTGTGCCACTGCACCTGGCTCTCCATGCCTTTTTTAAAAAAAAAAAATTTTTTTGTAGTTGTTTATGGACAGAATACTTTTATTTTATTTGTTTATTTTTACGTGGTGCTGAGGATCAAACCCAATGCCCCAGGCATGCTAAGCAAGCGCTCTGCCGAGGAGCTACAGCCCCAGCTTTTTTTTTTTTTAGTTGTAGTTGGACACAATATCTTTATTTTATTTTTATGTGGTGCTGAGGATGATCGAACCCAGGGCTTCGCACATGCTAGGCGAGCGCTCTACCGCTGAGCCACAATCCCAGCCCCTCTCTCCATGATTTTTAATACAATAAATGGTGACTGATACCCTGAAAAGTCCAACTCTTCTTTTTGCCTCTCTGTATATATAGATAGGGCTAAAAATGAAGGCTTAAAATTATCACTATATGCCTAAGTTTCTTGCCTCTATAAATACAAGGAAATAATAAACTTCCTTTCATTGTAAAGCAAACCCTGTGTAGAATAGAAAGACATTAACCATCTGTTTCGATGGAGCAGTATTTTAGCAGTTTATATCCTATTTCTCATTTTTCTTTCATTTCCTTGTTGTATGCTTTAACTATGAGCATAAGTATACACTTTTCTTGATTCTATGATACTACAAACTATAAGATGTACTATTATTTTATGTGCCAGTAAAGAATAAAAGGAAAATTGGGGGAAATTATAAGATTAAAATTTGTTATCCAAATATCAGAGATGTTAATGGCATTTGCAGTCATGTAGATGGAGCTGGAGAAGACAATGCTAAGTGAAGTTAGCCAATCTCAAAAAACCAAATGCTGAATGTTTTCTCTGATATAAGGAGGCTGATTCATAGTGGGGTTGGGAGGGGAAGCATGTGAAGATTAGATGAACTCTAGATAGGGCAAAGGGGAGGGAGGGAAAGGGAGGTAAGGGGCGTAAAAAAGATGGGGAATGAAATGGACATCATTTCCCTGAGTACATGTATGAAGACATGAGTGGTGTGAACATACTTTGTATACAACCAGAGATATGAAAAAATGTGCTCTATGTGTAATTCATTCTGCTATCATATAAAACAAATTAGAATAAAAAAAAATAAAATTACAGGGGCTGGGGATGTGGCTCAAGCAGTAGCGTGCTCGCCTGGCATGCGTGCGGCCCGGGTTCTATCCTCAGCCCACATACAAACAACGATGTTGTGTCCACCGAAAACTAAAAAATAAATATTAAAAATTCTCTCTCTCTCTCTCCCTCTCTCAAAAATAAATAAATAAAAATAAAATAAAATTACAAAAAAAAAACCCTCACAAATATCAGAGATGTTAAAATGTGAAAAAAACATAAATTCAGTATTCTTCATAGTAAAATAGAAAGTATCAATTTGCAGTTATTGAGGGAATATCAGAAGTGGGCATGTAGCAGAAAAGGTGGTATTATTTAGTTTTGCAGAGGTGGGCCAAGACCTGGTTTGATTTCCAAATAAGCCAGGACTCAGCTTTACTCTGAAGTTATAGGCTTTCCTGCCATAGAGGCAGGCATCTTGCAGTCACAGGCTCTAGGTGGGGGTGTGTGAGTGGACAGGGTTTTGTTGGTGCAAACATGTTATGACTGTGCAAAGCACAAAATTCACTGTCTCTCTTTATCCTAAGAAACTCAGCAGATGAATAAGGTAACAGACATAGTAATTCTCCTCAGAAGGACTTCTTGATTATTACAGGATTCTAGGGAGCAGTAAAAGAAACTCAGTGGGCAGAAAAAATTCTAAGTACAAAATTCTCTCCTTCTTACTAACTTACAACTAAAAATATTTTAAAAAAGAAGAAAGAAAGGCCTTTCTTTTTTCTTTTTAAAAATATTTTTAGTTGTAGATTGACACAATAGTTTATTTATTTATCTTTATGTAGTGCTGAGGATCAAATCCAGTGCCTCACACATGCTAGGCAAGTGCTCTATCATGAGTTACAACTCTAGCCCTTGCTTTTTAATTTTTATGTCTCTATTGAAGAGTTAATTTTTTTCTGACAATAAAGCAGTACATATGCAAAAATTGGGAACATTTTAGTAAGTAGAAAAGTTTAAATATCATATAAAGATGGCAATTATTTTTTCTAATCTTAAATGTTAATCAGATAATCAGGATCATACTGCAATACAGTTATTTATTATATTGTATTAAGGATTGAACTCAGGGGAACTCCACCACTGAGCTATATCTCTAGTCCTTTTTATTTTTTCAAATTTTACAACAAAGTCTCATTAAGTTGCCCAGGCTGGTTTCAAACTTGTGATCCTCCTGATTCAGCCATCCTAGTAGCTGGGATTACAGACCAGTACCACCATGACCAGCCAGACCTCCTCTCCCCTCACCAGTAGTGGGGAATGAACCTAAGGTCTTGCATATGCTAAGACAAACATGCTACCACTGAGCTACACCCCCAGCCCTCACATAGTTTTAAAAAATTTTTTGTTTTGAGGTACTGGGAATTGAATCCAGGGCCTTGTACATGCAAGGGAAGCACTCTACCTACTGAGATACATTCCCAGTCCTAAATATTTTTTTAAAGAAACTTTAATCAATAAATAATATTACTAGCCAATTTCATATTATTTAGTTATCATGTCTTAATGATAAAAGTATTTATATTCAGACTGGATACAGTGGTCCACACCTATAATCCCAGGTACTCTGGAGGCTGAGGCATAGAGGATGGCAAATTTGAGGCCAGCCTCATCAACTTAATGAGATCCTGTCTCAAAATAAAACAAAACAAAACAGGGCTAGGGATGGAGCTTAGCCCTGGGTTTAATTCCTAGTACTGCAAAAAACAAAAACAATTCTGACCTGAGACTTTATGGAAAGTGGAAAGTATCCAACCTAGACACATGCTGCAGGGCAAGGCAGGGGCAGTGAAGGGAGGCAGCTCCCAGGCCTGACTCGGCATGTCTGTACCTAAGCATGCCCTTTAGTCTTCCTAAAGCTCTATGTATTTGAAGTATTTTCTTTAATTCTTTCTAAAATATGGTATGGAAGAAGAAGATCTAAACCCAGCAACAAAACAATCAAACAAATATAAAAAAAATAAAAACCCAGCAATAACCAAAAACAATTTGTGATGACTAAGGATGAGTGGTCTGATGGGGGTCGATGCACTGACAGGTGGGTGAAGTTAGTTATTCCCCTGGTCAGGAGCCAGAGAAAAAGCATAGGACATAAAGACAGCAATGACTTCTCGTGGTTAGCAGGCCTATCATTTCCACATTGGTTCTACTCATTTATACTAGATCTAATGGGAAATGATCAAACATAAGTAGAAGAAAAAGATTACCTTTACTTAAAGGTGAACAGAGATTAATATTTCCTTAAGCTACCACTTTACAGTTTTTAGACAAAAGTCATTTTCTTTCTTTCTTTTTTTTTTCCCCTAGGCACTGGGATTAAACCCAGGGCCAGGCCAGCACTCAAACTCTGAGCTATATCTTCAGCCCTTTTATTTCGAGACAAGGTCTCACTAAGTTGCCAAGGCTGGACTTGAACTTGCAATCCTCCTGCCTCGGCCTCCAAAGTGATTGGAATCACAGGTGTGTGCCATCAGGCCTGGCTCCATCATCTTTTTAAGTTTCCAACCTTTATCTACAGGAAAGAAAAGCAGTTATGTAGTCTTTGCCCACTGTTTGCAGAAAGAATTTGTGATCTACACTATCCATTCCATTTTATGGAATACTATCAGTCTATATGGTAAAGCCATATTTTAATAATGTCTCTAACTTTAAGTCAATATTTTCATCTTAACAAAGAGTGTACACATGTATTGAAATATCATAGAGTACCTCATAGATGAGTACAATTTTTATGTATCAATCCAAAATAAGAGTAAATTTTTATTTAAAAATATAGTTCATTTCTTTATTAAGTCACATCTCTATAGCTAAAGAAAGGCAAGTTCTAAATTCCTTAAGAAGTGAAAGTGATCTAAACATCTGTTTCCCTACAACCCTGAGTCTCAGCACTATGCACAGTAGACACACAATAAATACTCTCTCAGTATTGACATCATGTCTGCCAGGGTAATGTAGGCCAGTCTATGAATCCATATCATGAATCTCTACACGCAAGGGCTAAATTGGTCATACACAAGAATTGGCTCTGCAGGAAATCCTGTTTAAGGGGGATTATAAATCAGGTGTGGTGGTACACATCTGTAATCCCAGTTATTCAGGAGATTGAAGAGGGAGGAGTACCACAAGTTTGAGGTCAGTCTGGGCAACTTAGTTAGACCCTGTTTCAAAACAATATTTTTAGAGCCAGGTGCAGTGGTGCATGTCTATAATCCCAGCAGTTCAGGAGGCTGAGACAGGAGTTCAAAGTCAGCCTTAGCAAAATCAAGGCGCTAAGCAATTCAATGAGACCTTGCCTCTAAATAAAATACAAAATAGGACTGAGGATGGCTCAGTGGTTGAGTGCCCCTGAGTTCAATTCCCAGTACCGTCCCCACACCATAGCATTTTAGAAAGGGCTGGAAGGATGAAACTTAGAGGTAGAATGCTTTTGGGTTCAATCCCCAGTGTCCACACCCATACACAAAAAGAAGTGGAAGGGGAACAGGAAGAGGAGGAAGAGGAAGGCGGACGCAACTCATAAGTCTCAGATAGCTATGCAAAGTAATGAAACTTCAAATTTACCACTGTTTGGCAATAATTAAAAGATGTCACTTCTTTCTTCTCTGGTTGTTTGGGCTGTGATGTTTTGCTTTTCATTTGTTCACCTTGATTCCCCTCCCTACCTCCTTCCTAAAAGTGCTGTTTTATTCTTTATTTTGAAATTTTAAATTAACTTAGTCTTCAGTTTTTATGATAATTTTTCCACAGCCCCTTTGGATTGTGATGAAGCCAGGGTGGGCTGCAGCTGTGGAGCCCTAGGCCCTTGTTCTGACTTGCTACACAAAACTATTTCAACACATGGTTGAAAAACAGGTCTGTCCTGCATCTGTCCTGATCCCCTTCCCCTCTAACGGATGAAGGAGTCCTTCTGCCTTCTTAGTCTGCCACCTGCCATTACATGCAGCTTGCCTCCCCCTTCATACTCTGTGCCCGCATCTGCTGTTTACAGTGCAGCAGAGGTGCAGGTGGTTATTAGAGAACCATGCTTATTCCATCTGCACCTGAAACTGAGACAGGCTGGAAGGGGGCAGATTATGAAATCACTTTGTAACCATAGGAACAAAGACCAGATTTCTCTGTGTGTTTTTTCACTAAGATAACTTCCAACAACAAACTATGGAGAGGCTACAAGTGCAGAGCATAAAGGATTCCACTGTGTCTCATCCACAGAGAAACAATCCAACCATCCTAAGACATTAGACCATGGGTTATAGTGTTTGCTGCCAGGTTTGGTTTCTTCACCCCTGCAACCCCCTAGACTCACTGGGGCATTGGACTATCTGATTGCAAACAGATTTCAACATCTCTTTACTCCTCCTTCATGCCACAGTGAACCACATTCTCCTTCCTTTGGAGTAAACATTGTAGCCACCTCAGCTGCATCCTAGTTTGTTAACAAGCCCTCAGGGGATACCATTACCCCCCCCTTAGCCTTTAGAAATAAGCTCTAGTCCTCCCAGCAAAGGGAGCAGAACATGCCTCAGATTTTCCACTAAGAATACAGAGTTCCCAGGACACTACACTTCACTGGAATATCCAGGGTGTGAGTGGAAGGCTCAGGTTTTGCTGGTCTTTAATGCTGCCTGTTAGACCGGAAGTTGCAGTGAAGGGTTACTGGGGAGGATGGTTCTCACTCTGGCTGTGCCTTTCAGGAAGTTTATCTGGGTGAACTCTTTTAAAGGAAGGAGTAAGAATGAGCCAATGTCTAAGCTACCAAAGAAGACTTTCATGTTCCTGAAGAGTGACATGGTTCAATGGGCTGAGAAAAAAGCTTCAATTCCAGGTCACTGAGAGACTCACGGGTAACACTGAGAGAGTGGG